TTTTAGCTCAAAGCTTGGCAGAAAACGAACAGAATGACATTTTAACTTACTTTTCATCACGAAAGATCAAAAGCAGTAGAATTTCGAACTGTAGAAAATTTTTGAAACTTCCGTTGCAATAGATGTTCTCTTCTTCTCAGGTTTCGTATTCAATACCATAAGATATATCAGTGGCTTGATACACCTTTTTACTACGGAATTCTGTAAAATATAATCCAATTTATATTTTATTAAAACCAGATAATTTGTTTTGTTTTCCGTTGTGAAGCGCAAAGAGGCACAGTAGGTTATCTGTACTCTGCCCACCACGGCATAGAAACTCGATTTTTAGCCACTAGGGGTCGAAAGCCAAAGAGATAAGAGACTTCATAAGTGAGCTATACGTATTCACATAAACATTTAAAATTTGACTGCAATCCATACAAACAATTAATATATATATATATATGTATAATAAAGATTATCTATATTACATATAGAATAAAGACCCTATTTCATAGGTATACTTATGAGCACTTATGGTTTCTTAAATTGGACAACGAAATTATCATAAGTAAAAAAAAATATGTTTTTGGATATTCGTGCAAAGCTAGCTATCTGCGCTAGCAATCCATAGTTTTTAATTGATAGATTAAAGAAAAGGGCAAGTTAGTCAACAGCACCCGCCACCAACTGTTGGTCTACTCTTGTCTGGCTGAATAGTGAGTGTTCGAAAGTGCAGGACACAATTATTATTATTTTCGAAGATCCAGAGTCCAGGCTCCCTATTGGTTGGCACAGCACAGATAGCCCATTGTTTAACTTTCTATGATTTATATGCGTGTACGGACTTATTATTACTAGCATAAAGTACCCACGCTCCGGTGCGGGAATCTAAGGTCCCCTCATAATTCACAGAAGCCTCAAAGTACCAGTCAAACGTCCTCATTATCTTAATTACTTTTATACCTACCCCGGTGCGCCAATTCTTTAATTGATTTGGCTGTTGCCATTTCCCGAACTTTTAATTCAATTCAACTCTTTTAAAAACCAAATAGTTTTCATTTAGCTTCTCAGATTCGTTTTTTTTCTTTCTGTCTTTATTTTAATTATTTTCATTCTCCAATATTCTCTGATTCATATTTTCTTCCTGTTGTTTATTATCATTTCCCAAACATAGATCAATTCAACGTTTTTTAGCCGCGGCTGAGCGGCTCATAAAACGGCTCTGTTTTTTTTTTTTGTTGTTTTTAAGTACAATCTTTTAGCCCTTAGCGCCATCATTTCTTGACCGATTTGAGATCTAAGTACAGTTTTGGACTCAGGAGGTCAAATCCTTTCGATTGATGTAGTTGATTACGCGCAAAGTCTCATACATTAATTTATTCTAATCCTGCTAAAAGAATTTAAATTTGAGGGTAGGCTGGTAAAGATTTTGATGAGTAACAAAACTGAATCGGGCGCCCCATGCTTGGTATTGCTGGCGCACAAAATTATAGCTAATAAAAAGGGAAATAAAGGTCTCATAGATTAATTTACTCTAATCCTGCCTGAAAGAATCTCAAATTGCTCTTGTTTAGTTCTCAGATCTCTATTTTTCTTCCCCTTGTCTGTGTTGAAAAAAGTATTTGTCACAAAACCCCCACATATTGTTCATTCAGTATGTGAGAGTTAGAAAAAAAATACGGTACTTTTCTGTAGACCTTCAGGAAGCAGAATTCTGGGCTTAAGGGCAAAAAAATTGTACAAAATATTTTTGTGTTGAATCTAAAAATAATACTCAGGTGCACACCCTCACAATGCCCTTAGTATGCGTGCAAAGTTTCAGGTTTTTTCCTCTTGGAGCTATAGTGGTCACACACACACGGATATGATATTTCATTGTTATAGAAGATTAAACATTTTAAACGACCCTCACATGTAGATTTTAGGCCTGATCAACTCATATAAATCTATATCATCAGATAAACTAATGTAATCATTAAGAGGATAGATTAAAGTTTCTAACTGTGGTTTCACAAAGTTAAACTAGAGGGTACCTGTGGTTTCACAATGTTAAACTAGAGGGAACTCCACGCAGAGTTGATCATATTCGGCTCTCCAAAAAAATAAGAAAATGTGTCCGTATGTCCATCGTTACCAACAGACACGGACCATGTTTTTGGCAGGACAATGCAGAATAATATTCTACATATATCTACCAAGTTGCAACAAAATCCAATCGTTTTTGACAGAGCTAGAGAGCAGAAATAGTGTAAAAAATCGGTCCCCATGTTAACAGATAGGGATTTTTCGGATATTTTTAACTTTGCTGTGACTTTGACCTTGACTCTTCAAAAACTAGTCACTTCTAAGTTGAATCTTATTCCTAAATGTATATCAACTTTTATCCAAAACCATTCTGCCCTTTTCGAGAAATCTTGCTGACAAACACACACACACAGGGGCAAAAATAGGTAATAAATGTCTAACGATTAAACAAAACGTAAGAGCAAAATAGGCTAACAAAACAAGAACTTGTTGTGAAGGGATAGTTTAAGTTAAATTCGTAAGAAATCCTCAAATATTATTATTGTAAACATTATTATTTGTACATGAATTCTGAATACTTATAGACTAATGTTCGATCTACGATAATAACATATGAAGGTGTTATTCCGCCGTACGGCTTATTAAGGGTACTACTAACCATCTGCAACCTGGTATTTAAGAAAGCAAACAGGTTAACGCACTTGTATATTTTAGAGCAAAGTCACATGGGGCTGTGTTCACCGAGGGGAATCGAACCCCAGATTTTGGCATTGTAAGGTCATAGACATATCACTGTTAAAAGTACACCAAGCTGAGCTCGGTCTAACTAACATCAACCACTGACTTTCATATGAAATTAAACATACCGAATACAAATAAGTTAGGCCTCACGGAAATATGTTGCTGTTTTACGAGTAAAGCTACACAATGGCCTATCTGGGCGGGGAATCAAACCTCGGGTTTTAGCATTGTAAATCCGTAAACGTGCCGCTGATCCACCTGAAAAGTCAGGAAAATATGAAAAGGGAGTTTGAAAAGATTTTATAGCACGTGGTCGTATAATGTTGATTTCCGTCGTGAACGATGTTTGACCATCAACATATTTTATTTCATTTATGTACCCACAGACAAGTTAGACAAATTTCCGAGAAGAAAATAATTAATTTTTTACTTCCAGTTTTGTTTTAAACTACGTGTGCTATTATGATGTTTACTTTCGTGTCTGTCTGTGCCCATATTTTGTATATTTATACTCATAAGTCTAAACCCTCCAGTGGCACAGCGGTATGTCTGCGGACTTACAACGCTAGAATCCGGGTTTCGATACCCGTGGTGGGCAGAGCATAGATAGCCCATTGTGTAGCTTTGTGCTTAATTGCAAACAAACATAAGTCTAAAAAGTTAATTTAATAATGTTTGTTTTAATGTGGAACTTGAATGTATAATAGTAATAATAATAACATACCTACATATAAAGTGTTGTAAAAAATCTATATAGTAATATATTTTATAATTTCATGCATAAAAATTCAACCGATACTCACTACCGCTCCTAAATTTATTTTCTATTATTCTGTATCGCCTCTACTACATTCTGAAACGTTTCGCATGAAATTCACCCCTTCACACCAATAAAATGAATCCATAAATTACTGCATTTTGGGGGAAATATACACGGATTGTAAATTTCTTAAGGTCACTGATTTCCCTTCGAATAATCTGGCAGGATCCGTAAGATAATCGGAGGTTCGAGCAGGAAGTATGTATGTTTTTTGTTGGTTTTTTTTTTAGAGTAAAGCCACATTGGGATATCGGCTGTGTACAACACGGGGGAATCGAACCCCGGATTTTAGCGTTGTAATTACGTAGACTTACCGCTGTCTCACAAGGGTACCGAGCAGGAAGTGCATTGCAGAGTTAAACTGAATTGGTTTTGACTGAATTTAGAGTGAAGAAGGAGACTGGACGCAATATGATGTACAGTTATACAATCTTTATTGAACACAAAACAATTAAAAATAACGAGTGTAGGACAAAGGACAGCACCTTTACTAGCTGTTGAGAGATTTCAGAAAAATCCGTAGATCTGGGTGAAGAATCTGTTCCAGACTGAGAAACCATACCATTATATCTATATACAGTTCCACTATGTTTTTCTTCTCAAGTCGTCATTGTTGGTCATTTCAGTCGAAAAATAAGGGATAATGTTACCTCAAGGTATCACCTGATCTACCACTGAAAAAGATCATTTCGTAACCTGAAAGATTTTGGCCCAATATATATATTTTAAACATTTATCCCTACAATTAAGTAGTGTGACTTCAATTAAACACTGGTTATGGAATTAATAAGCTTCGACCATCCACACACCAGGATGTAACATGTCAGATCGTTGTATGATCGTGATAGGGTAACATGGTCTACCACTGTCGCGCCGGATTTAACGTATGTGTGTTTTCTTTCTTTTTTTTGGGGGGGGGGAGGGATAGTTTTGTTTATTGTTAAGCACAAAGCTACACATAGGGCTACCTGTGCTCTGCCCACCACGGTATATGTTCGTGGACATACCACTGTGCCACTGGTGGGCTGGGGGGGGGAGAACAATTGTAAATGATTTAACTAGTATAATTTAAAATGCTATATTGAACTGTAAATCTTGTAAAATTCTTTTAGTTAAGAATAGCAAATTTTTGTCATTAAAATTAAAATATGTCTCATTGTTTTGCTTTTGGAAAATCGATATATTCAAGAGAGAAAAATACCACTCCCCACAAAGTCTAAGTGTGTGAGAGAGAGAGAGAACTTGTAAAAGAAACATTTGATATGATATGAATGTTCATTGATGCTTTTGTACATTTTACGTACAATTATTGTGTCGGGAAAATGCGGTATGTTTATGGCTAAAAAACACAAGAGAAATGAAAGATGTGTTTATTGACTTTCATTAAATGTTTCAATAAAAATACATTTTCTTCACAAGCTGTATTTATACTTTCTGTTGGAAATAATAAACTTATGATATTTAAGGTATGATATAATATATCTTCAACGCAAGGATTGGAGTGTAATGACAGCCAAGCAAGTTTTATTGTGATATCGAGAACTGATATCAAGACATATATAAGATTTTTAATAGACATCAACTGGTGTAAACGTTATGGTAAAAAAAAATAATAAAATCAAACTAAAAACAGTTCCCAGATTTTGCTTTTGTTATTAACCAATATTTAACGCCTGTTGATTTACGTAAGATTCAAACTTCATATCTAACTCTACTCTATTCCGGTTTCTTGAAAAAATAATTAACAACTTAAGAACACCTGCATTCAACCTTAAAAGATTTAATTATACCCTTCAGTTGTCATCAGTTTTATTGCTCTTCCGATCTATTAAATAAGCTATCAGAACAAATACATTTCATAAATTATATTAACTTGGAGAACGGTTCAAAATGGTTGAAAGTTTCACGTAGTGTGTGTGTGTTATTTTTGTTTATCAAAATTGCAACGAAATCCTAAATAATATACAATTTTAATGTTACGTATTGCATATAAAATAGCACTTTAGATGGACTTGTTACTGCTTACTTGTTTGACCCAGATTTTTGTATTTAAAAAAAAAGAGCTTTCTGGACAGACAAAAAAAAAAACATAACTTCAATTCCAGGTCCGTGAAGGTATTAATTAACAGAAATGTGGACCAGATCTGCAGTGTAGCACGATGTGTATCACGAATATACAGTTTTACAAAACTTCGCAAAAATTGAAGCAAAGTGGGATAAAATAAGAACAAGGTCTTATGTGATAGTTCATACTCTTCTTATTCTCATAAAGCTTATTTCAAAATATTTTCGAACGACAACAATATAGCACCTTTTAAGTTAACCAAGAAATATATTAGGAACGAAAGCTGAACTTCACTGAGAAGTTTCATTCTTCTTAAAACCGATGATAAACCATAATCAATTTGTATTAATTATAAATAATTTACTAAACTTTACGGTATTCAAAACGAACAATTAGAAACACAAACCAAAATTTCTGAGGAAACTTAATTCCTATTAATGTAATGTTAATTATGATACTCATTTTTTTTTTCTGGTATATTTATATCACGGAATAGAGTTACGAAGATATTTTATACACACCTATATCTCTATGTATTAGATCATTATCTCTGCCAATCGTAAATGTCAGTTTCAGATGTGCTTTTGATTTCTTCTCGTTCACCTACACTAGATGCTCTGTCCAAGGTTCTAAGAACTGGTGATGTTATGGTAATTTCTGTAGGATAATTATCTAAATCCCGATGACTTCGTCGACAGTCCAATGACGTTTTTCTGTGAGTATTGAGTGTATCTATGGATGCACTAGAAGCGCTATGGTAATCAGTCCTAGAATCACAATCTTTGATCTTGAGAATGGTTTCTGGCAATTGAAGGAATTCAGAAGTTGACCGCTCTAAAACAGGGCAGTGGCCAGAACCAAAAAGGCTAGAAATGGTTGGCACTTCTTCTATATACTCAGAGCAAGACCTTTCAGCGGCACTACGGGCAGTTCTGTGAGTGTAACCAGTGTCCACACTCCATAAGGATTCCTTGTCAGCGTGTGTGAAATCTACATCCATTTCTGTCATGGATCGCCCGTCAAAGTTCCTCGCAGATCCAAAAGATCGAGATGTCCAGTGAGAATTAACACTAACTGGGGATGATCTACCAGAACGTGAATTTTCGGAGTCTATTTCGTAAAGTGGAGTAAGAGAACTCTTACGGTTTCGCGTTTCATAATCACTCTTTTTCCTAAATCGTGGATTTTTCACTTCCCGAGAATTTTCCTTAACATTTGTTCGACTGCTATAATCTGGTGCCGATAATATACGAATAATAACTTGCCACTTGTTTGGTGTATATAACTGTTTGTATCGTTCATCTCTGCTAATTCTAATTAATTCCTCAGTTGCTGTTGCTTCCTGAATCAGTGAGCGGAAAGTTGTGTCTGAATTGATTATGGTTTTCCACTTCTCTTTGTCTTCTTCGGACAGTTCCATAGCCTCAGTTATTGGAGACGGATTTAGAACTCGAAATACTATGTCCTTAATAAAAAAATTATCTCTTACGTTTTCCTCTGGACATGTTGACTCCTGGGATCCAATCTTTCTCTGAAAAGCAGGTTTTGTTACATTACTTTCAGTATCTCGTAGTTTTTCATCTTCTTCATCCCAGTTTTTATCTGTATTTAATTCTGGAGGATGATTCCGAAATTTAACATCCCAAGATGTTGGTTTTCTAGAGTATTGATTTTTGATCTCTTTTTTATATATTTTTGAGTATTCTGAAGAACTAGTCTCATTCATTTTGGAGAAATGTACTTCATCAATATTCTGGAGAGTAACGTGAGGTTTTGGTTGTGGCATTAAATCATCTTCGGGATTGTCATCATCAACAGATTTAGTCTGATTACCTGACAGATGAGTCCACCGATGAACATTTTTAGTTTCTTCAATCTCTGTTGATGTCCTTGTATCGAAGAAGCGGTCCTCCAAATTGGAAACTCTAAACTTAGGTTTTCGAATATATGGCCTAACTGGAAGTTCATCCTCAATCTCTGTTTGGGACCAGTTCCCATTATCAGAAATGCTTCCATATACTGATGGTTCATAAGAGGGATCTGGTGGTAGTCTTTTTTCAACTGGTAAGAATTCAACAATTTCAGATTGCATATAATCATGGTCACCTCTTGCTAACGATGACGCAGAATCATTGGGCACGAAGAATGAATCCCTAGTATGTTTGTCTACCTGCAATGAAGCATTAGTTTTAGACTTTGGAGTTGAATATAAGTCTTCTTTGGAAAATTTCTGAAGTCTCGTTAGTTGTTCATTCATAGTGTCTGTGTTAACGTTGTCTTCTTTCTCTATAATGGTAGTCAGCATTTGTTTAACCATTCTCTGTCTCTTATCATCAGTTCTGTATTCGAATGGTTTTTCAGCAATTTCTGCGTAAAACGAGGAACTGGTTTGAATATTTTCTTGGTCTGAAGGATAACCCTGTATAATTGGTCCTTCATCAGGGACAAAAGCTCTATTTTGGAACCTGTAGCCCCCATTCCTCATGTTCGAAAAATCCTTAACAGACATACTCTTGTGAGCATCCAGTTCTTCATCTGAGTTGATTGAAGATGGAGATTCACTTGGGTAGTCGGAAGGAAGAGTTTCATTAGTACCACCAGAACCATGCTGAGAAGATCCAGAAGTTAACAAAACTGCCTCGGACCCAGATCCGGATATGGCTGAAGCACGAGGAATACTAATAGTTCCTATCATTGTCGTTGGACCCCTGGTGGAGCTACTTAATTTGGTGATCTCACTTCCAGGAACTGAAGATTCAGTTCGTCTTCGTCGTACAATCTTGATGTTTCGCTTCTTCAGGCAGTAATAGGCCATGCCAACTCCAAGTAATAGCAGAGTCAAGAACAGAAGTGCACAAACAATCAGAAGCAATTCTATTTCGGATAGTTTAGGCGTAGCTACAACAGCCAGAGGGGGAGTTGGCTCCAGCCTGCAAATAAAAAATGTATTAATCAGTTCGTCGAATTATGAAATGTGCAGCTGAGAAGAACTGTATAAAGGACCGAGTGCAGAACGGATAAAAGTAATTTATGTTGAAGTTTAAGTAAAAATCGAATTGCCAATGCTATTCAATTGTTTGTGTTGGCGCAAAGCTACACAATAGGGCAACTACGCTTTGTTCACCACGGAGAATCAATCGATCCCCGCAGCTGTTATTTAATGGATTTTAAGTGAAACTCCTAAGATGTTCGAATAAAGGTCATTAACAAAGGTACAGTACTTAAAAGAAGCAAACAAGAAATAAAAATAGACAAAATATAAGAAGTGTGTATACATAAAATATTTACCTAACTTGAACCGAAACGTTTTTATTTAGAAAATGTTTGTGACTAACCCCAATTGTAAAGTTTAAATGGCACTATTGAATTTGTAAGGTGGACTATATCCAATTAATTTGAAATTTAGTTACTATGCCAGCAGTAATGTACTTACTTAGTGGGTATAAGATTATTTGGGGGTGGTGCTAAAGGCGGAGGATAACGGCATATAATCGTCTTCACTTCGTCATCATCAAGCTCCAGAGAACGATGAAAACGTACTAAAATGTTGTTGATAAATACTCGTGGCGCCTCCTAGAGGTAAAATATATAATCAACAAAAACGATTTTATCTGACACTTCAATCAAAACCTATTGTAAAATTCAGAAACAGTTGGAGATTAACATGAAATTATAATATCAATATATGAAAGTATTCGATACATATTATCGCTTCAAATGCCCAATCAGAGCCATGTTGATTTTGAGAAACAACACCGATCCCTTCTTCATGTGCAAAATATTAGGTTAATTCAATAAAACAATCATTAATATTTGATGTTAAAATAAGAGAATAAAAAAGCCTTAAACATGATTTGTTGAGACACAAATAAAATTGATGAAAATTTCACGTTGATCAACTCGATCCAGTTCACACTGGTATTGAGCGAAGGGCCTCGTCGGTACTGAATATAACATATACAGCGTAGATGATATATAATTATAAATTCTTCCTTACTTTCACTCAAAATTTCTTATTAATAACACAGATCCCCTTTTTCACATACAAGATCAGGGATATTGATTTTCAAATAACACAAATCCGTTCTTCACTACATTTAACGTTGATTACTGAGTCCAACTCATAACACAGGCCTGCGACGGTTTTATTGTCTTGAAATTTTTACCTGTTCTACAGTAATTCCTGTACACTTAATCCGAAACTGATATCCATTGTTCTCCATCACGTACAGATTTTCACAAAACGTCATCACAATACATAAAAGAAAGACCACAACACGTATTTTTGAGACTAAAAGACGTAGGTAGATTTCACACACAAAAATCAGGATGAATGAGGATGCATATTCGTTTGACATCAATGTTCTTCCCTTTTCTTCAGTTTGTTTGTATTTTTGTTAACAAATATAATAATAAAAAATGTTCATTGTGGTAAACGAAATAATAATTTGATCTAAGTAAGAGTTGTTTCTTCCCAATTTGTAAAAAAATCCTTACATGATAGAAAAAATAGATATTATTTTAGAAATCTGCGTAGCTGAATTATTGGAAAATCCATTATTAAAACCAAAACAACTTTTATGAAGTTTAAATTATCAGGCCTGTGTAATCTTCAGGTTGCATTTCTTCTATTAAAAAAGAAAAAAAAACGAAATAACACAGTGAAAATATCTTGATTCTTTAGACGTGTTCCGATAATGTTCATTGCTATACTTTTCTATTTATTTATAGGGCGCAGTTCTGATTGGACTGACGTTTCGGTTGGATTGTACCGACGTTCTGGTGACAAAACAGTTATTGTCAGTGTTAAGAACAGTTCCCAGATTTAAATCTTGAAAATCAACCCAAACCTTTCATCCTTCAGCCTTCCCTGCGTGGGTCGTTCGTATCCCAGTGGTTAACGTGCCGTTTTACGAATCAAAGACTCCAAGGTTTGAGACGCGATAATGCTGAACAATGTTCTGCAGTTTCAGTTGTGGACGAGTTAAAAAAGATGACAGTCGATCCCATTCGTCGGTTTAAAGAATCAAAGTATTTGAGGTAATGGGTGCCTTTTCTCTGATCAATAGTTCAAAGTTAAGAACCATTATGCCTCACTCTACTGTTTAGCTCACGTTACAAATTACAGTTAGGTAAGTTTCTGCAAGTGTTTAACAATCTCTCTTGGTGATGATGAGCAATGTTGTTTCTGAAACGCTGACAAAATCAAATCTAGTGGAAAGTTAACTTTATAGATGATGTGAACTTCAGACTACAAAGGGATGCATACACTTTTTCCTGATTGTTAACATCCATATTATCAACTCTCACATCAGCACAAACAATTTTATTTCATCGAACTGGTGTATTTAAGTGTTTTACACTGACAAAAAAGAAACCTATTATTCTATATGTATTTGAAGAACT